AGGGTCACTATGAGTTGGAACTGACTTGATGGGAATTAACAATAACAGCATATGGTATATAGTAAAACTACATTGATTTGTTACTCAATTTTATTTATGAAAATTGATTTATCTTACAAATAATTGATCTAGTACCATGAATTGAATTATGTCTCTCCCTGTGTTCCCCATGACTCTCTCTTTCTCAAGTACAGCCTTTATTGTGTAGGAAACCTAAATCTCTTGTAGCTCAGAGGAAGCAATAAAATAGAGTTGTACTTTCTTCCTCTTCTGGAACAGTCTTCATTCTTTGTTATGATTGGTTTCCTAGGAAGCATATCTTATCTCTTGCCCTCTGTCATGTTTTCATGTGACTTAGTGATGTCATTTTTTTTTTTTTTCATTCCTTCTTTCCAGCTATTATATCCCAATCACTCATTTTCCTTTTGGCAGAATATACCATTTGTGGGGAGTTACTCAGCAAGATTGAGAAGAATATTGATGCTTTAGTCCCAGGAAATTTCATTTCTTTTTCTCATCAGAAATAGTTAGGAGGGGTCAGGAAGCAACTTCCTGTATCTCTGAGCCAGAGCCAGACATTTTAGCACTTCATGCTGTGAGGTGGAGCACCCCAGCTGCAGACAGCTCTGCTGAACTGTGGTTTAAAGATCTTGGGTATTTCCAAAGGGAAAACCAAGTTCATTGAAAAAATATTTTAAGACACCTCTGAGAAACTCTCTTCATTGTCACCTTCTGGACAGCAGAAAACTATTGTATGAACTGGCATCTGAGCACTTTAGGTAGCTCTGGAACATGGAAAGTTGAAAAGAAATTGCTTGGGATTGCCTTTTCTATAGGTAATATTCTTTGTTGCTGAGACTTTATTGTGAGTTGAGTGAAGGTTTATAGAACAGATCATTAGTTTTACATCCAACAAATCCTAACTTTGTTTCATCTCAGTGATTGCAATCCCCTCCATGCAACAACAGTTATCCCACTCCTCCCTGTGCTTCCTAATTCCAATCTATCTTCCATTCTAACCCCTCTGAACATTGCTCCAAGGTAAATGTTGCCCTTTCAACCTTGAATGTTGACAATTCCATAGTAAGCATACCTCATTTGTATTGTTGTCCACCTATCTGCCATAGTTATCACCCTATTGTTGTTAGGTGCCATCGAGCTGGTACTGACTAATAGTGACCTTATGCACAGCAGAACGAAACACTGCCCAATCCTGGGCCAACCTCACTATTGTTGCCACACTTGAGTCCACTGATGCTGCCATTTGGCCATTCCATCTCATTGGGAGGGTCTTCCTCTTTTTTTCTGACCCTCCACCTTACCAAACATGAAATCCTTCTCCAGTGACTGGTCCCTTCTGACAATATGTCCAAAGTATGAGAGACCAAGTTTGGACATCCTGGCCTCTAAGGAGCACTCTGGCTGCACTTCTTCCAAAACGGATCTATTGGTTCTTTTGGCAGCCTATGACACTTTGAATATTCTTCTCCAACACCATAACTCAAAAGCATCAATTTTTCTACGGTCTTCTTTATTCACTGTCCAGCTTTTGCATGCATATGAGGTTATTGAAAATGCCATGGCTTGGGTCAGGTGCACCTTAGTCTTCAAGCTGATATCTCTGCTCTTCAACACTTTGAGAAGGTCTTGTGCAGCAGATTTGCTTAATGCAATACATCGTTTGATATCTTGACTGCTGTTTCCATGAACGTTGATAGTTGATCCAAGAAGAATGAAGTCCTTGGCAACTTCAATCTTTTCTCCGTTGATAAGAATGTTGTTTATTGGTCCAGTGGTGTGGATTTTTGCTTTCTTTACGGTGAGATGCAATCCATACCAAAGGCTGTGCTCTTTGATCTTCATCAGTAAATATTTTAAGTCCTCTTCACTTTCAACAAGCAAGGTTGTATCATCTGCATATCGCAGGTTG